GCAATTTGTAGGTTAAATTTTAATTGATCTGAGTTTACATGACACCACTCGCAAAAGCAGATGTGTATATCGCTCTTTGCTGCACACCACTTTCATTTCGAACAAACAAACTTGATCTGAAAGAGCAGTGAGCAGAAAGAGTCCTCGAGTCGATGTTCGCTATCGTTGTGTCGATGCTTAACTTCTAAAAAAATCCTTTTGCACAAATTTTGCGAATTCGAAATTCACTAAAAAAATACCAGGTACTGGTATTGTCCATAATTGTTTTTTACCACTGGGATGTAGAAATTGGTTTCTATTTCTTCGGGATGCTGCCGTTGACGCTCACGTTCCTCCTCCTGCAGTCGTTCCAAATGTCCGTCAAGTGCATTTAGACTGGCGACCGGATACATATAGATATTTCGATATCGACTTTCGTAATGCATTATGTAGGTCGAGAATTGTTGCTCGTTTCGAGACTGTTCAAATTGGAATAGATTCTCGTGTTCCAGCCAGTTATTTTCATATTGCTCACTCTGACAATTAGCAAATCGGCAAGATGGGTAGCGACTCCGATCATAGATTGATTCTGCAGCTGCGTTGGGATTTTCAACCTACAGAGGTATTTTAAACGGCAATTGCTTTGTGGCATGCAGCGCTGCTCTCAGTTTAAAGTGGAATGTTGTAATAGTCTACCTTTCTAAGATTTATTCGTTGTTTTCAGTGACAAATGATTCTGGTAAATATCTCGGCGTCAAAACCGTTTTCAGCTTCTTTAAAAGCAATTCCATGAACACTGACAGCGTTAGTTTGCTACTGACACGTGTTGCAACTCGGGCTGAGTGCCTCCGACGCTTGTAAAGATTGAATACGGAAAGATTTTGACTTGCTGCCGAGCGAATGATTCGAGGCAAATGGACATCGCGCACTAAACCTGCCTTCGCAGTTGCACGTTTCTGCGCAGTTTGTGCGGCATTAAATAGTAGAATGAAAGGATTGGATCTAGGCGTCATTTGTGAGAAGACATTTTATCATCAATAATATATGTGGTTCTTGGTTTACAATTTTTTGTGTGCTCATGTTGGAAATCTTTTTTTTTTTTCTTGCACGTTAAGGGAATGAGCCGTGGACTGACTATAGTGTTGCAATGTGGCTTTAGTTAAATTGTAGCTTTAATATGTGAAATACGATGAAAGCGAAATTTTACTGTGCTCACATGCGAAACGTGGGCGTTTGTGAAGGCTCATTTTTCCATTCAGTATGGTTTTAGAGTTGGGAAGATGCAAACAATTGTGCGGCTTGGGATCAGCAGTACTCGTATGTTAGACGTGTGAATACATGAAAGCTGACCTTATGTTTTTAGCTCCTACAGCTTTAGCCATTCTGATTTGCAAAAGAAGCTGCCGATAGTTTCATGAATTAAAGTTTATTTTCACATGTGCGAATACGCTTAAGCGAGGACTCATTTTATGGCACAAGCTCTGCGCACGAAGAGCAATGGAAAACACAGGTAGTGAGGCGCTAGGCTTGCCGGCGCGATCATGCCTAGACTAAGTAGTTAGATTATTAACGGCACGAATGGTTGCTGCTTTACAGCTTAACAAGTGAATTCATGTTGGGTATTTTTGGCTTTTCCTTTCATGCAAGGAGAAAGGGACGTCGGCTAGGACGATAACGTTGTATCATGGGGCCATGTGAAATCCACCCCCAGCGTTACGGCAAACTCTGCATGAATTGAATGGATTTCCGTTGGTCGATCAGCCATTGAAAAATGCAAACTGGACAGTAATCCGCACAGGATTACAAAATCTGCAAAACCCACTTGCTTGCGAGGTTGTGATAAAGCTGAGTATTTGTCGTGTCCTTGTGTAGGGAATTTAGCTTTCTAGCTGAATCTTGATTGCATTTGAGTATGGAATCGTTTGTAAAGTTTGGAACACTTGTAAAATTTCAGCCTTCTAGCTTATTCGGCTCCTGAGATCGTCACTTTGTCGAATATTTTTGTCTTGCCTTTTGGCAAAAAATCATGCAAGCGCATCTCGAATTTCCATTTAGATATGCGAGTCCTCAGTTGAACGACAAATACTCTGGCAAAATTACAGCTGCTGTTTTGAGCTAATTCTCGAGTTGGCATCATGCACCAGGAACTATGACGTGACGGTACACATGGAGCAAACATGCGTAGTAACTGAGTTAGGAATCTCTAGCCTTCACATGGGAAAAAGACATCACTGCGAAGTGTTTACCTAAACGGGATAGCGCTAGACCGCGTTGAAATGTTGATCCAGGGCTGGACAGCACCAGGTGGGCTGGTGCAATCATGCGTTTTACACTACTTCGTGCTGTATCAAGATCGCAAGGAAACATATTAGCTAGAATTTGTGAGATATTGGCCCTCGAAGTTCAGGAAGTTAATAGTGCAGCTATATGGCATTTCAGATGTAGATGTTGGCCTAAGTGATCCGACAAATGGGAAGTTGCTGGTGCGCGAAAAGACCCCGCTAGAAGAGTTAAATTTGAAATCTTTAGTAGCATACGGGTAGGAAACATTCCCTTAAAATTCCACTTTCCAGCTTTTTCAAATCCCGGGTCAACAATTTTCCCGCCAAAAGTTTTACGTGTCCGTGCGTGGGACGTAGACGTGCCGACGGTAGATACCACGTTCCTGGTGTCGCACTTGGCCTGGGAACGTACTGACAAAATTGCAACATCAGTGCTCGCATGGTTGGCGAGCAGAAATACCCGGACAGAAGAACACACATACACACACACACACACACCCACACACACACATACACAGGGTTGTCGCAATATGCGCTTTTGCTGCCTGTTGCAGCGCTCAGCAAAAACGCGCTAAAATGATACAGCATAAGGCAGTCAAGTTTAGCAGCAACATGACTATCAGATAAAAAGTGCGGCCACGAATTCTTGCCTAGCAAAGCTAAGAAAATGCCAACAAGATTTTCATGTATTCGCACATGAAAAGTACGTGTGTGAATGTTGAACATTGACTCTCAAGATCGCGCATGAACAAGAAACGTTTTTATAAAAATTCATGTTTCTGCCTTGTTAAGTTTTCAAATTAGGAAGAAAATATTCTGCCAAAACCTGCAAATCGGCATAGGCTGGTGTTGTATTGTTTCCAAAAGCAGTGCCTGATCGAACTTTGGTTGCCATAATCACCGCTGACGCCACTGTTGCTAATCGGCAGAAAAACATCCTAAAAATCGTATTCTAATTTTCCATTTTATAATGTAGCATCATGCCGGCCGGAATTTTCCGGAAGTAAGAGAAGTATTACCCGGATTTCGCAAATATTGCGTTGCTAAGACAGCAGTACACAAAACCGCCGCACACGGGCTACGCTACAGCTTTCTTTTTCTTCACACAACCTTCAAACAGCGCACATTTAGACTGCGTTCCTTTGCAGGTGTCTTTTCCTGCTTGTGCGCCCTCAGTTCTGAAAAGCATTATACGCCTTTCTTGCTTGCTTAAAGAATGAGAACGATAAATTAGGTGCTGTTCACTACCAAATCGGTTGGCATGCTGATCCGCTTGCCTTTCCTGTGAGATGATGGATATAGCAGATTTTAAGGCTGGATCTAGTGAGTACTAATAGCGATGGAGAGGAATAAGCGAGAAAACGTGAAGCTAGAAATAAATAAGAGGAAGTGAACGAAGGCTGTCTGGGATGAAGGGCGCAGTGAAGTCTCCAACGTTTTTCGCCGAAAAAAGAAACTTAGTTGACAGCGCATCGGTTGCCGGTGCGAAGATGCGTTTTTTGCACATTCCTCCAGCAGATTTTTGTTTCTAATGGCACTGTTTTTTCAGCAGATGCTTCTAGCCAAGAGAATTGAAAGTAGCCATCACGAATATTAGAAACTATTACAATGATTCCCAATTCAGGCCCGAAAAATTCAGCACTCCAATTGCTTCTGTTACAGAGTTACATCAAATTTCACGTGTTCGTAAGCGAGAGGTAACGTGAATGCTTTCTTCACATGTGTTTGTTCAAACGGGGTCCTGGACCAAGCTCAGAAAATCTCGGCGCTCTAGCTGTTTTGGTTGAGAAGTTAGGTCAAATTTCACGTATGTTTACGTGAGATGTAGGTGAGACATGAAAGGGAAGTGAAAGTCGTTTTTACATCCATTTGATCAAAGGCCATCGCCGGTCATTCTCTGGCTGCTTCAATTCTGAAGTTAGAAAAGTGCCTGTGTGAAACTTTCACGTGTGCGTGTGTGAGATGCAGAAGGGCTAGAAAGCCAAATTTACTTTCATGGGCACACCAGTGGGCGAAATGTAACGCTCCAAAATTGCAGCTCTCTACAATTTCATAGCTTAAATCTGAATTTGGCATGAAGCCAGTTTAGACTTTAACGTATGCGCACGTGAGATTTAGGGGTGCGTGAAAGCTGAATTTGCAATACTTGGGTTAGAAGTGGCCAAGGAAAGTCTCTATGGAGTTTTAGTCTTCTAGCTTTCGCAGTTCCCGAGGACTTTCTGCCAAAAAAACTTTCACGTGCCCGTATTTGAAAACCACGCGGAAGTGAGCGTACATTTTGAGAGTAGGGGTCCGAAAGTGTATTTAGGTTAAGTTACCAAAGTTTCAGCCTCGTAACTTTTGTGGGTCACGAGACGAAAACTCGTTACGGACGCACACACAAACACACGTACATACACACACACACACACACAGACACCCCTTGACAATATGGTTTTTGCATCACATAGATGCAAAAAACGCATAAAAATGACTCAAAAAGCATGGTAGTCACGGACTTAGCAACAAAAACGTGAAATCTTGACACAATGATTTTCTATGGAAGCTCGAACTACCAACAAAAAAAGCAAATTTTAGCTAAACGAACGCGAAATTGCGACAGAAGTGCACCACTGAAAATACAAAATTACAGTGGAAAAAAGTGGCTGGGCGCAGAAACACTAAGCTTCGCGCTAAAGTTTCAAAGTGTTAAAGCCGAGTGAATAAATGTAGTAATAAAAATCGGCAGTGCTTTGGCAGTGTGTTCAGCTTTGAAATGTGATATAGCCAGGCGTTTGAGTACCACTTCCTGTCCAAAGCTGCTCACACTGCTGACTACGGCAAATAACAATATTTCCCGGTCAGATCCGTTGACAGTGCAAATTTCATTTTTTCTAATCGACTTTTCAAAACGACGTCTGCGCTGCCACAGGATTCAACAGAAATGAAAGCTATGACTGGTAAATAACAGATGGGTGGGCTCACCGTTTTGGTATTTATGAACATGTGTAGAGGGTTGGCACAAGTTCTGCGTGGCAGCAGTATAGAATCGCACGATAATTATTCCTCTTTTTCTCCAGGCTTTGATTTTTAGCCTATCGTCGTCTATTGGTAGTTTACCAGTGACGCGCAAGGGCAAAACGGCCTGCCGGCCAAACTTACAATTCTCTTGTTCTTTGCACTGCGCTCACTGTTAAAGTTTCCCAGTGCTCTATCCATGTCTGTAAAAGTTAAGAATGCTTTTCACTTTGTTCTACGCAATTTCAGATAGAAGTAGTAGTGAATGGTGATGTTCATAGTGATGAAACCAATTAGCGACGTGCAAGCTTGCAGGTACGATTATGCGCTTTTGCGCTAATTCAACGCAGTTAGTTCGCTAACAGCATGAATGGATGCTGCTTTACAGTTTCGTGTTGGGTGTGTTAAGGCCTTTTTTGCACGCTAAGGGAAACGGCTTCGGTTGGGGCGATGGTGCTGTATCATAAGTCGTGTGAAATCTTGGAGTTCAGCGTACGTGATTACAGTAAATTTTGCCTGAAGGGAAAAGGCATTTTCACTTTTGTGCAGGAAAAGGCCAAAACACCGCCAACATGATTCCACAAAACCACACCAGATCCGCTGTTAACGATCTGACTGCTGCAACTTTAGCGCAAAAAGGAATGGTCGCAGCGACAGGCCTGGCGCGTCACAACCTGGGGTTTTTAATTATCGATAT